CCTGGTTGGTCCGGCACTCCTTGAAGGAAACAATCTAGTTTCCTCTTGAAGATGTCCACGGTTGTTCCGGCAATATTTCTGATGCTCGCTGGGAGGACGTTGAACAACCGTGGACCTCTGATGTTTATACAGTGTTCTCTGATTGTGCTTATGGCACCTCTGCTCTTCACTGGTTCTATTCTGCATTTTCTTCTATATCGTTCACTCCAGTACGTTGTTATTTTACTGTTTAGATTTGGGACCTGGCCCTCCAGTATTTTCCATGTGTATATTATTTGGTATCTCTCTCGTCTCCTTTATAGTGAGTACATTTGGAGAGCTTTGAAACGATCCCAATAATTTAGGTGCTTTATCTCGTCTATGCGTGCCGTATATGTTCTCTGTATTCTCTCTATTTCAGCAATCTCTCCTGCTCTGAAGGGGGAAGTGAGTACTGAACAGTACTCAAGACGGGACAACACAAGTGACTTGAAGAGTACAACCATTGTGATGGGATCCCTGGATTTGAAAGTTCTCGTAATCCATCCTATCATTTTTCTGGCTATCGCAATATTTGCTTGGTTATGCTCCTTAAACGTTAGGTCGTCAGACATTATTATTCCCTAATTCTTGACATGCTGTTTTCCTACTATGGCCAGATTCGATTGTGTTTTGTACCCTGTATTATGTTTAAGGTCCTCATTTTTGTCGTATCTGAGTACCTGGAATTTATCACCGTTAAACATCATGTTATTTTCTGCTGCCCAATCGAAAACTTTGTTAATGTCTGTTTGTAGTTTTTCAATGTTTTCAGCGGAGGTAATTTTCATGCTGAATTTTGTATCATCTGCAAAGGATAGCACGAAGGTGTGACTTGTATTTTTGTCTATATCAGATATGAGAATAAAGAACAGCAGTGGAGCAAGGACTGTACCTTGAGGTACTGAGCTTTTAACTGCACTCGGACTCAATTTTACTTGATTGATTGTTACCCTTTGTGTTCTGTTCGACAGGAAATTGAGTATCCAGCGTCCTACTTTACCAGTTATACCCATTGACCTCATTTTGTATGCAATCGCTCCATGGTCACATTTGTCGAATGCCTTTGCAAAGTCTGTGTATACAACATCTGCATTATGTTTTTCCTCTAATGCCTCAGAGATTTTGTCGTAATGGTCAAGTAGCTGTGAGAGGCATGATCTTCCTGCTCTAAATCCATGTTGGCCTGGGTTGTGGAGGTCATTGGTCTCCATGTTGGCCTGGGTTGTGGAGGTCATTGGTCTCCATGTTGGCCTGGGTTGTGGAGGTCATTGGTCTCCATGTTGGCCTGGGTTGTGGAGGTCATTGGTCTCCATGTTGGCCTGGGTTGTGGAGGTCATTGGTCTCCATGTTGGCCTGGGTTGTGGAGGTCATTAGTCTCCATGTTGGCCTGGGTTGTGGAGGTCATTGGTCTCCATGTTGGCCTGGGTTGTGGAGGTCATTGGTCTCCATGTTGGCCTGGGTTGTGGAGGTCATTGGTCTCCATGAATCTAGTGACCTGACTCCTGATCACTCTCTCAAACTCTGATCACTAGGGTGCTGTGAGTGCCAGGGTGCTGTGAGTGCCAGGGTGCTGTGAGTGCCAGGGTACTGTGAGTGCCAGGGTGCTGTGAGTGCCATGGTGCTGTGAGTGCCATGGTGCTGTGAGTGCCAGGGTGCTGTGAGTGCCAGGGTGCTGGGAGTGCCATGGTGCTGGAAGTGCCAGGGTGCTGGAAGTGCCAGGGTGCTGGGAGTGCCAGGGTGCTGGGAGTGCCAGGGAACTGGGAGTGCCATGGTGCTGGGAGTGCCAGGGTGCTGGGAGTGCCAGGGTTCAGGGAGTGCCAGGGTGCTGGGAGTGCCAGAGTTCAGAGAGTGCCAGGGTGCTGGGAGTGTAAAGGTGCTGGGAGTGCCAGGGTGCTGGGAGTGTAAAGGTGCTGGGAGTGCCAGGGTGCTGGGAGTGCCAGGGTGCTGGGAGTGCCAGGGTGCTGGGAGTGCCAGGGTTCAGTGAGTGCCAGGGTGCTGGGAGTGCCAGGGTTCAGAGAGTGCCAGGGTGCTGGGAGTGCCAAGGTGCTGTGAGTGCCAGGGTTCAGTGAGTGCCAGGGTGCTGGGAGTGCCAGGGATCAGTGAGTGCCAAGGTGCTGGGAGTGCCAGGGTTCAGTGGGTGCCAGGGTGCTGGGAGTGCCAGGGATCAGTGAGTGCCAAGGTGCTGGGAGTGCCTTGGTTCAGAGAGTGTCAGGGTGCTGGGAGTGCCAGGGTGCTGGGAGCGCCAGGGTGCTGGGAGTGCCAGGGTTCAGTGAGTGCCAAGGTGCTGGGAGTGCCAGGGTTCAGTGAGTGCCAGGGTGCTGGGAGTGCCAGGGTTCAGTGAGTACCAGGGTGTTGGGAGTGCCAGGGTTCAGTGAGTGCCAAGGTGCTGGGAGTGCTAGGGTTCAGAGAGTGCCAGGGTGCAGGGAGTGCCAGGGTGCTGGGAGTGCCAAGGTACATGACTGGCGTGCGTGAGGGAGCCTCGCGGTGTCAATAGCTAACATGACTGGCATTATTCCTGCCAGCTGGTCCCGTGGCGTCTTCTTTCTCTCTCTCTCTCTCTCTCTCTCTCTCTCTCTCTCTCTCTCTCTCTCTCTCTCTCTCTCTCTCTCTCTCTCTCTCTCTCTCTCTCTCTCTCTCTCTCTCTCTCTCTCTCTCTCTCTCTTATTTTGGCATGTGACATTGACCTTGACCTTTTTTCTTCCCTAGATGTTGAGTGACCTTAACCCAGCACTAAGTCACCCAAGGGAATGACCCCGGCCCTGGGGTATGACCCCGGCCCGGGGGTATGCCGTGTGAGGGAAGGAAATGCTGTGAAAGGAGTTATAAACAGCTGAGGGATGAGAATTAAGGTCCGCCGAGGAGTCGCTTCCTGCAGGACTGGCGTCCGAGGCGCTGGTCAGCTGTTTCTCTCCGGCATGACTTCCTGGAGCACTACCTAGGACTTTCTCCAGGTGTGTGTGTTGGTGGGGTGGTGTTGTTGTGTTCCCTCGTGACCCCAGGCCCCGGCTACACTCTCCCGCTACACGCATCCATTACCTACACCCACCACCTACACCCACTACCTACACCCACTACCTACACCCACTACCTACATCCACCACCTACATCCACCACCTACACCAACTACCTACACCCACTACCTACACCCACTACCTACACCCACTACCTTCACCCACTACCTACACCCACTACCTACACCCACTACCTTCACCCACTACCTTCACCCACTACCTACACCCACTACCTACACCCACTACCTTCACCCACTACCTACACCCACTACCTACACCCACTACCTTCACCCACTACCTACACCCACTACCTACACCCACTACCTTCACCCACTACCTTCACCCACTACCTACACCCACTACCTACACCCACTACCTTCACCCACTACCTACACCCACTACCTACACCCACTACCTTCACCCACTACCTACACCCACTACCTACACCCACTACCTACACCCACTACCTACACCCACTACCTACACCCACCACCTTCACCCACTACCTACACCCACTACCTACACCCACTACCTACACCCACCACCTTCACCCACTACCTACACCCACCACCTACACCCACTACCTACACCCACTACCTACACCCACTACCTACACCCACTACCTACACCCACTACCTACACCCACTACCTACACCCACTACCTACACCCACTACCTACACCCACTACCTTCACCCACTACCTACACCCACTACCTACACCCACTACCTACACCCACTACCTTCACCCACTAACTACACCCACTACCTACACCCACTACCTACACCCACTACCTACACCCACTACCTTCACCCACTACCTACACCCACTACCTTCACCCACTACCTTCACCCACTACCTACACCCACTACCTACACCCACTACCTACACCCACCACTTACACCCACTACCTACACCCACTACCTACACCCACTACCTACACCCACCACTTACACCCACCACCTACACCCACCACCTTCACTCACTACCTACACCTACTACCTTCACCCACCACCCACCCGTCACCACCACAGCATACAGCCATCACCAACACACCACCACAGCATACTGCCGTCGCCAATACAGCACCACAGCATACAGCTGTCACCACCACAGTATACAGCTGTCACCACCACAGCATACTGCCGTCACCAATACACCACCACAGCATTCAACTGTCACCACCACACCACCACAGCATACAGCTGTCACCACCACAGCATACAGCAACACAGCATACAGCAACACACCACAGCACAAATATCACCACATCAGTTGAAACAGCTGATGCGGTGATATATGTGAGTGTTGAGCGGTGGAGAGATATGCACCAGTACCTGGCTGGCTGCTGCAGTTGTCACGCAGTAAGATTACCCACAGCTCTCAACGTTCCGAACACGTGATCACCCCTTAGTTACGTACGTTCTAATTGTAGTTCCTTAATCAGGCTGTACCGGGACGCTCTTCACCTCCTGACCCTGCCATGATAAGCGTCAGCATAAGGCTGACGTCTTCCTTAATTCCCTTTAAGAATGGAGAAAGTTGAAGCCTAGAAATGTATACCTCACTGGATGTTGTTGATAGATAATAGCAATGTGTACTTGCTAGCATTTATGATAGAGTGCAATGTTAAATAGCATTTTAAGATAATAATTTCAAGTGCTGATGTTTATTTAAAAAAACCTCATAGTGACGTCATGTAAAAAGTGAACGCAGGTTGGTGAATCGATTCTCTCCGGACTTGCCGGTGTCTAGATCATTCACTGTGCTCTGTAAGTATTATATAATCCTTACTTATGTATATGTCAAACCCCTTATTTATTATACCTTATATCCTATAATAAAAGTGTGTAACTTTCTTTAACGTGAAAGTAATGAAATTGGTGTTTATGTTAAAAATTGTGGCGAGAGCGGCCCACCGCGCGCTAAGCCCCGCCCACCGCGCGCTGGGAGAATAACATGGACGGGGCCGCGCCGGTACCGCTAGTTAGGTCTCAACCAGCGACGAGGAAACGTGTTGTGCTCCTGACTTCTCTCGTCTGCCGTGGCTGCTCCCGACACTGCCATTAAGGTGACCCTTGAAGTTATAAACAATCTTGAGAAGTGATGGCTCCCCAAGCCCCAGATCAGGATGTTAAAGGAGAACTGTTGGAAGGGGAAGAAAATTCTCAGAACCTACCATTAGAGAAGCGAGAGATTAGTATAAGCCTCGTAAAGATTTTCCACGATCTTCGTAACCTGGACTGGTCTAAAGTTGTGTGGCGGAATGCAATATTATTCTTTTTGCTACACATTTACTCCGTGTATGGCTTATATGTGGCAGTTTTCCATGCACAGTGGAAGACTATAGGCTTCAGTTTGGTGCTATACTTCATGGCTGCCTTGGGCATCACAATGGGAGCTCACCGCCTGTGGTCTCACCGCTCCTTTAAGGCAACGCCACTACTGCGTTTCATTCTTGCAGCGTTCCAGACGCTGTCTTTCCAGAATGACATCTTTGAGTGGGCCAGAGACCACAGAGTACACCACAAGTACAGTGAAACCGACGCTGACCCCCACAATGCCCGCCGCGGCTTCTTCTTCTCCCACATGGGCTGGCTAATGTACCGCAAGCACCCCGAGGTCATCGCCAAGGGCCGCACCCTTGACTTGTCAGACCTGCAGCAGGACGCTATAGTGATGTGGCAGCGCAAGCACTACATTCCATTGGTGATCACAGCGTGCTTTGTCCTGCCAACTGTCATCCCCTGGCTCGGGTGGGGAGAAAATGCAGTCACCGCCCTGTTGGTGGCCGGCTTCCTGCGCTACTCCATCGTCCTCCACGTCACCTGGTGCGTCAACTCCCTGGCGCACTGGGTGGGCAGCAAGCCCTTCGACAGGAACATTTACCCCTCACAGAACTCTGTGGTGGCATATATGGCACTGGGCGAAGGCTGGCATAACTACCATCACGTCTTCCCATGGGACTACCGCACTGCTGAATTTGGGGGCCTGAACCACTACAACATTACGAGTTTGATGATCGACTTCTGTAGTATGATTGGCTTGGCTTATGACCGCAAGACAGTCACTCCAGCCATGATTAAGAAGCGGGCCGAGAGGACAGGCGACGGCAGCTACTAATCAGTGACCAGCAAGACGGGAGGATAAGAAAATATTCGTTTCAGACGGTAGTTCTCCCACACCCTCATGCACAATGGTCCCTACACACATCTCCCCTTATATGAAAGTAGTTTTGCAAAAAACGTATTCATGTATACGTAGACTAGAAGTCATTTTCAATCTTTCCTATATATTTATTGTTTTTCATATGTTGTCAATTTATCATAATAACAAAGTAATGATTAGTCAAATTTTCTATGACTTTTATAACAAGAGTTAGACGAGGCACACACACTGTATAGGGCAGATTATAACACAAAGCTCCATCATACTCTGCTGTGGAAGTAACCGAAATAATAACTAGTGTATTTACATGGAAATATTTAACTATCGTTATACTAGGTGAATTATGACATTTACTTCATGTGTTAGAAGGTAAGCTGTGAACACTGGTTGTCCTATTTACTCAATATGTTATATAATCTGTTGTCAATATATATATATCGTTTGCTTGGCAAAGTTTGTGGAGATGTCAAGGAAGTTGCATTTTATTGTCAACTTGAACTATTTCGGAAATATTTAGAAAACTTTATACAGTATAATTCCGTTAAACATTCCAGGCAGCTGGCGCGCTGCAGTAGTTAAAGCAGTAACTAGTTAATTAACTAGGTAAAGACTAGCGGTTTAGCGTGTCATGTTGGAAAAATAGCCCATTTAGCAAGGGGTTTTGGATATCAATTATCATTCGAAATGTTGAAAACTCTTTAACTTCAGAATTGTTGTTGTTAATATTGTTGTTGTTGGTTATAGGAAATGGGGGGGGGGGGGAGTTAGGCCCACCCAGCACCTCAGAGCTCTTATGATCTATATGCAACTTTAAAGCAATTATTACGCGTCAAACAAAAGCCTAGCGCATGGACTGTGTACTTTTGTGTCTGATTTATGCGCACGTTAGTGTTTTGCACGTTTTAGGACTTAAGAATTACGTTCTGAATCGATTGCATTAAACTTGCCTAAGTTTTTGTCTGACATTATTAAAAAATAAAGTAAACACTCAATGATGATTTAACATTCAAAATAATCATGATTTGATAAACTTTAATATTTTCTCAGTATCTCATAACCGCCAACCCCCCCTAACATTTATTATAGGTAAGGCTGGCACAATATATATATATATATATATATATATATATATATATATATATATATATATATATATATATATATATATATATATATATATATATATATATTCGTCAGCATATACAAACCAACGAGCTCTCACATGTAAACCAGATTTATCAGGAATACAGTATTGAATATTTCCGTTTTCTATACGATTTGTCGACCCTGCAGTAGTCTACGGTCTTAAATATTGGTCGTCTGATCAAACATGTTTGATCTTTCTAGTCATTGTTTAATCCCCCTCATGTTGTGGTAATTAATTAAGACATTAGTCGCCGCCACACACAAGGTAGCGTTTGCTCTCTGGCTGAAGAGGTACCTCTCCGGAGTGACTGAAGGGGTACCTCTCCGGAGTGACTGAAGGGGTACCTCTCCGGAGTGACTGAAGGGGTACCTCTCCGGAGTGACTGAAGGGGTACCTCCGGAGTGACTGAAGGGGTACCTCCGGAGTGACTGAAGGGGTACCTCTCCGGAGTGACTGAAGGGGTACCTCCGGAGTGACTGAAGGGGTACCTCCGGAGTGACTGATGATCAGTGACGCAACACTTCCGCCATTAAAGTAGCTTGGCCCTCTACCGAGTTTTTATTTATTTATTTATTTATTAATACGAGAGTTCTTACATTCAGTAAAGCCACTGGTCTCTGTCATTCATAACATATTGCGAGAACATTTTATTAAACGATATGAATGTTTTGTTGCATTATATATATTTTTATAAATATATGAATTCTGGGAACATTATTTTGTCATTGATGTCTGGACTTCCATATAAATGTGAAAACATTTTAATAATTCATAAGAATTTTTGCATTACATATACACGTGAATTATTTTTAAATGATTTGCAACTTAATAATGTAATGTTTACTACAACCTCGAGTTGCAGTGCATGGCGAATGTTTGTAGTCTGGGACTTTCTCAGCTTCAAGATGCCCCAAGATAAATACACTTAATGACTTTGTAAAATCTTTGCATTAACTGGGTCATCCTGGCACCATTATCATCCAGTAAAACAACAGGAATTAGATGTATAGCACATTGGTATGTCACTTCATATCTTTAGCATGACACGTGAATGAGCTTAACTTGGCAACGACAGGATTAGTTGGACTGTATGATGAGTGACGTTGCCATTGGCTTACAGCAAGTAAGGTATTCAGTCATCTTGTAAGCCTCTAAGCTGAATAAAGTTTTCGGGATATTTCCGCTTTGAATTCTGGTGAAAAAAGGTGTGTTGGGTGGTGGTCCCACACGAGTAAAGATTGAAGTCTATTGTGTAAAATACTTGTTTTACGTCGGTCAAATGACCAAGTTGAGTGTAGCCCACCGTCTTCTGTCTGTAGCCTACTGTAAGTTACACACTGTATTTGTTGTGTAGGAGATACAATACAGTTCATTGTTTTGTTCCATGTGCTGAAGATTAAGTGATGCTTAGATTGTTTACAATCATGCTTCACCACCCAATAATATGAGAAATATTAGCATAGCCCTTGTCGCTATAATTACATTTAACAGGTGAGGGAAGTATTTCAGATTGGTGGTAACTGTGCTGAGATTGTTGTGGGGACAGTGTAGAGGAACCCCTTATTATGCCACTAGTAGGTAAGGGAACCCCCTTGTTGTGCCACTAGTGGGTAGGGGGAGCCCCTTGTTATGTCACTAGTGGGGACAGTTTAGGGGGAACCCCTAGCTAAACCAGAAGTCAAGGGAACACTTGCTACACCACTGGTAGAGTGGAACACTTACTACACCATTGGTAGAGTGGAACACTTGCTACACCACTGGTGGAGTTGGACTCCTTGCTTCCCCATTACCCTCCTGACAGGCCCAATCTCTACAACCACTCACACCCTGCTAATTGCACTGGCTATATCTTTGCCTGTATATAATTAAAATTAATTAAAAGCAGCCAGTACACACAAATCTGTGGCAATGGTATTTCCCACTCGTGCTCACACATATATATATATATATATATATATATATATATATATATATATATATATATATATATATATATATATATATATATATATATATATATATATTGAAGCATCATAAACTTGGGAGAGTAGTTGTTTACATACAATACATGAAAAGTTATGTGTTGTGTTCTGTAAGTAATATTTCACATTAATTGAAGATTGTTTTTATTATTAAATTTACTGAACAGTTCCATGATCTAGCAGCTGGTAGGTTATATATTTTCTTATATATACTGTCATCATATAAGGAATTACAGAAAACAATTATATTTTGCAACAATTGGAGAAATACAGATTTTTTTCCTTGGCAGAATTTACTCATAAATAATCTGGTAATGATGTAAGGTGTAGAGGTGTGGCCACTGAGATTTGTGTCTGGTCAATATCTGTAGAGATGTGTCTGCTCAATATGTGTAGAGGTGTGAGCACCGAGATGTGTCTCATGTCAATATCTGTGTAGAGGTGTGGCCACTGAGATGTGTCTCAGGTCAATAATTCTGCAGACACGAGAGTCGCATCCGGGACCAGGGTTACCACACTATTAAAGGTTAATATAGTTAAGTAGAGAGATAAACAACTTATGAATTGTTTATATAATAATAATTAAGCAACAATAAATTATGTATAAGCATTCATATCAAAATTTGTCAACTAAATCCTTACATGGACTGTCAAGATTCACGAGGCTAACTGTATCTGTCTGTTAATGACACATCCAGCAATGGTTGTCCAGTCTGGTGTATCGTTGTTCATTCTCCATTCAACATTTTTTTTTTAACATGTCTCCTCTATGTTAATATTGCAGTAGGCCTAACACTCGGTATTAGAATCCCATTTCACTGTACCAATCAAATCCCGATTGAATTTTTCCGCACCTAAATAGGCTAGATAATTGTGTGGTGGTTTGAGTTCCTAGTGCAGGAGGCTAACATGTTTTGTTGACCCAATCGTCGCCCTGAAGACTGATGTCCTCGCTTATACCGTATTAACCCTCCCGGTTCATATATAGGAGTTCCCGCATAAATAAGGTTGTGTATTGATTGTATTAGCTATGTTGTATTATACTTTAAAAGGATAAATATTCGTCTAGGGGGTTGCACCTTGCATAATTTGACGAGTCTGGTGTTGTTACCGCTGCTCTTGTGCTGCCAAGGCTGTTTTGTGAGACATTCCTCCCTGCTGGTTATATATTGTGATGTATTTCCTATTCCAGACCTATTGTATGATACAACTTCTAATTTCTGATTCTATTATATAATGTATTATGTCTCAGTCGTGTTGTAAGACAAAAAAACCTTCTGTGATATGTGCTACAATGCAACTGCTTCAGGAAAGGTTGATGAGGAGTGATGGTGTGCTAGGCTCAGCACTAGGCTCCTGTGTCCTGCTGAGGCTATGCTGATCCACACACACACACACACACACACACACACACACACACACACACACACACACACACACACACACACACACACACACACACACACACACACACACACACACACACATTCCACTACAAATTACACGAGCAAATTATGCAGATGAAGAGGTGGTATCAACCAGTTGCAAGTGCCATCGCCTGTGTTGTCTCCCATTTATTATAAACGAACATTTGTTGATATTAATGGAGTTTATGACTTATAGAGAGTGTTCAGTTTACATTGTCTTTCTTAAACAGCTGGTTGGCAGGCATAAGGAAATGTTTAAACATGCAAAGATTAACTTGCAATTTTAAAATTTTGATTTTTTTTAATGTACATTTCCCTTGATGTTTTCTGTGCATGAAGGTACATTGATGAAATATATTTTTCTAGGAGGTTCGAATCCAGGGTCTGAGCGTTACTGATTGGCAGATTGGCTTACTCTCTTGAAGCATTGTCACAACATTGTTGATAGTTTATTTCTATAATTGATGTCAAACTACCACTCACCTTCTTGCCAGATTACCACTATCACCCTCTTGTCAGACTTCACTCAGACGAAACAAATACGTTTTGTCAGATTTATAAACATTGCTATTGTCCGTACCAGCGAAAAGCGACGTAGTTTGTAAGAGGGCGGGTTGGTAATGTCAGTTTACCACTGTAAGAGGCCGGGTTGGTGATGTCAGCTTACCACTGTAAGAGGCCGGGTTGGTGATGTCAGCTTACCACTGTAAGAGGCCGGGTTGGTGATGTCAGCTTACCACTGTAAGAGGACGGGTTGGTGATGTCAACTTACCACTGTAAGAGGCCGGGTTGGTGATGTCAGTTTACCACTGTAAGAGGCCGGGTTGGTGATGTCAGCTTACCACTGTAAGAGGCCGGGTTGGTGATGTCAGCTTACCACTGTAAGAGGCCGGGTTGGTAATGTCAGTTTACCACTGTAAGAGGCTGGGTTGGTGATGTCAGCTTACCACTGTAAGAGGACGGGTTGGTGATGTCAGCTTACCACTGTAAGAGGCCGGGTTGGTGATGTCAACTTACCACTGTAAGAGGCCGGGTTGGTGATGTCAGCTTACCACTGTAAGAGGCCGGGTTGGTAATGTCAGCTTACCACTGTAAGAGACCGGGTTGGTGATGTCAGCTTACCACCGTCAGTTTCCACCCGCTGACATCCGGCTTCAACTCTGTAAGAATAGACAGGAAATCTGCCCTTCAGTAGCTCCACCCTGGACGTTGAGACCCATTGTTATTCAGTTATGTATTTTGTATTATATCGTAGATTGTAATATAATTTACAAAGAAGTTGATCAACTGTTGGGTAATGATATATTTAGACACTAGAGACACTCTGACTTTGCTGTTTGACTTATGTTTACAGGGACCATCGATAGTCTTGCAATTACGCTACAATTATATGATATAAATTGGTGGCATTATAAGGGTGTCATTATAATGTACTCACCTAGTTGTGTTTGCGGGGGTTGAGCTCTGGCTCTTTGGTCCCGCCTCTCAACCGTCAATTAACAGGTGTATCAACCGTCAAACTCTGGTGTGTGTTGGTGAAGTATGGTGCGGTATAGTGCAGGTGTTATGAGACGAAACCTTCTCTGAAGTCATCACAATATGTTATAAGATAACCTGATAACCTGCCTGACAATGCAATTGCATGGAAGGTTAATTATTTTGTAAAGAACTTTTTTCAGAAATTGATGTAAGCCCGTTGCTCCTTAAGTGTACTTCAGACAAATTATTGCAATCAGGCAAGACGTAATAGCGTTATTTTTTGAATATGGGAGTATATATATATATATATCTTTTGAATCTACATGTCTTAATAGATTAATAGTCTTCCTTGGAAAGTTATCAAAATTGTAGTCAATAAAAATGCCATGTAAAACGTTTTTTTTTTATTCACTCTTTTTAATGAGATATTTATTCCATTGGAGGTTTTAAGTGTATGAAATATATATGTGAAAGTAGTTTTTTGGATGTACCGTCATTACGCAGGCGCAGGGAGCCGGTCGGCCGAGCGGACAGCACGCGGGACTTGTGATCCTGTGGTCCTGGGTTCGATCCCAGGCGCCGGCGAGAAACAATGGGCAGAGTTTCTTTCACCCTATGCCCCTGTTACCTAGCAGTAAAATAGGTACCTGGGTGTTAGTCAGCTGTCACGGGCTGCTTCCTGGGAATGGAGGCCTGGTCGAGGACCGGGCCGCGGGGACACTAAAAGCCCCGAAATCATCTCAAGATAACCTCAAGATAACCTGATACATACAAGGTACCTGGTGGGTGCAGTTGTGTTGCTTCAGTGACGGTACCAGGGTTGTACCTGTTATACTGAAGATACCTTTGATATGTAGTACCTTTGCTTCAGTGACGGTACCCATGGGGTGTACCACTCGCGTTATCTGGGGTGTACCTTTCACGCTGACGGTATCAGTGGTATACCTCTCGTACCGTGAAGGTACCTGGGGTGTACCTCGACTACACAGATGGAATATGGCCGTATCTTTATTAGACCGGCGGTATCTGGTGTGTACCTCTGAAGTAGACGGTGCATGGGGCTCAAAGCAGCTTTACTTAAACTCTGGTGTACCGTTGCTACACTGACGGTACTTATGGTGCACGTTTGATAAACTGACTGTACATGAGGTTTATTCCCAATACACTGAGGGTACTTGAGGTGTACCGCTGACTATACATGAGGTTTAACAATGCTTCACTGAGAGTACATAAAGTGTACCGCTGCTACACTGACAGTACTTGTGGTGTACCACTGCTACACTGACTACTTGTGGTGTACCGCTGCTACACTGACTACTTGTGGTGTACCACTGCTACACTGACAGTACTTGTGGTGTACCACTGCTACACTGACAGTACTTGTGGTGTACAGCTGCTACACTGACACTACTTGTGGTGTACCGCTGCTACACTGACTACTTGTGGTGTACCGCTGCTACACTGACTACTTGTGGTGTACCGCTGCTACACTGACACTACTTGTGGTGTACCGCTGCTACACTGACTACTTGTGGTGTACCGCTGCTACACTGACTACTTGTGGTGTACCGCTGCTACACTGACTACTTGTGGTGTACCGCTGCTACACTGACAGTACTTGTGGTGGACCGCTGCTACACTGACAGTACTTGTGGTGGACCGCTGCTACACTGACAGTACTTGTGGTGGACCGCTGCTACACTGACAGTACTTGTGGTGGACCGCTGCTACACTGACAGTACTTGTGGTGTACCACTGCTACACTGACAGTACTTGTGGTGTAACACTGCTACACTGACAGTACTTGTGGTGTACCACTGCTACACTGACAGTACTTGTGGTGGACCGCTGCTACACTGACAGTACTTGTGGTGGACCGCTGCTACACTGACAGTACTTGTGGTGGACCGCTGCTACACTGACAGTACTTGTGGTGGACCGCTGCTACACTGACAGTACTTGTGGTGTACCACTGCTACACTGACAGTACTTGTGGTGGACCGCTGCTACACTGACAGTACTTGTGGTGTACCGCTGCTACACTGACAGTAATTGTGGTGTACCACTGCTACACTGACAGTACTTGTGGTGTACCGCTGCTACACTGACAGTAATTGTGGTGTACCGCTGCTACACTGACAGTACTTGTGGTGTACCACTGCTACACTGACAGTACTTGTGGTGGACCGCTGCTACAATGACAGTACTTGTGGTGGACCGCTGCTACACTGACAGTACTTGTGGTGGACCGCTGCTACACTGACAGTACTTGTGGTGGACCGCTGCTACACTGACAGTACTTGTGGTGGACCGCTGCTACACTGACAGTACTTGTGGTGGACCGCTGCTACACTGACAGTACTTGTGGTGTACCGCTGCTACACTGACAGTACTTGTGGTGTACCACTGCTACACTGACAGTACTTGTGGTGGACCGCTGCTACACTGACAGTACTTGTGGTGAACCGCTGCTACACTGACAGTACTTGTGGTGTACCGCTGCTACACTGACAGTAATTGTGGTGTACCGCTGCTACACTGACAGTACTTGTGGTGTACCGCTGCTACACTGACAGTAATTGTGGTGTACCGCTGCTACACTGACAGTACTTGTGGTGTACCACTGCTACACTGACAGTACTTGTGGTGTACCACTGCTACACTGACAGTACAGGAGATGTACTGTCGATAAAACCAATACCATTTACTAACATTTAATACAATAGGTGGATAATGCTACCGTTTTGTATTAACAAATTAACTCACAGAAAATGAGGCACAGTGGAAGTTTCCTCGGAAGAAAACGGGGATATGATTGCCATATGTCGCCATTAAATTCACCAATATAATAATGGGAACCATTCTTAATATCTCAGGACTGAAAATATTATAATAACATTTCCCTTCAACCATCTTAATTATTAGTACTAAAATATATTAAATGTAGGCCCTCTCTCCTCTTCTTGACTTGATGAGTCGGTGGGAGTAAGGCCAGTCAGGGAAGCCGCCATTAAAACCATACAATATTCTCTGGAGCATATCTTGCTCCTCTAATTTTCTTTGTACTCAAGTGTTATGGGAAGTAAAGTGCTCCCGTTATCAACATGATCTACGTCTACTATAAGGGAAATGTTCAAGCCAAAACCCGTTATAACCCGTTTCTGCCCGAAACGCTTTGCGTAATAGTGGCTTTAGGCATTGTATGTACTAGCTCTATCTATAAAGCCAACAAACTTTGTAAAATCTCTTTATGTATGTACCTTTACCTAAGTAAAAATTATTATTATTATTATTATAAATCCCCACATTCCTGGCCAATCGTGTAGGTAGATTAGGGTGACCCGGTAAGAATGAGGCTTAGCGAGAACAAACACTAAGGGGGAGCAATAATCTCGTATCTTTATTTGAATTGCTAATATTTCCTCTGATATAGGTGTCATATTTAGGATTACTATCATTCTTGTGAGTGCCCTTTGACAGGTGTAATTGAAGAGGAAGAAGCAGAATTGCATCTACCTGGTACCCCATTAACATATGGTTATACCAGCCTCACTCACTAGGATTATTTGGTGTGATCATCT